GAGAACTTGCACAATTGGTGGCTGACTAAATACTTTTTTGCCCCACTGTATTTCCATTTAAATCTCACGTAAATAAATGATAGGCGTAACTCCTTGGAAATTTGTGAAAGCCAAGATGGAACCGATCACAGTATGTCACAGATAACAAGCACCATATGTGGGCATGCAGAGTTTGGACGTGGTTTCCTCAACGCATCCAAGGTCAGAGTCATGCGTGAGTTTACATTTGCTCATTTAAACAAATACAACGAGCTGATGTGGACACAGCGGTCTTTAATGTAGATGTTGCAAGACAAGACAAGTTCCTGCCTCTCTTAGAGTGTTATTGTGCTGTGAGGGTGAGTAGTTGAAGTTTAATAGCCAGTGTTTAGGGTCTGAAAACTCCTTTTTTAATTGTATTTTAGGCCGCTGTGGATGAAAAGTCCAAGCAATAACAACATCTCCCTTTTGGTGGCGCTGTTGTCTTCATCTTTATCTACACTGGAATGAATGACAGGTCTAATATGTGCTTTCAGGTCTATCCAGTTAAAAGCAAAACTTCTTTCATAAACAAAGACTTATTCTGCCTCATAAAATGTTGCCAGTCGTTCCACAAATCTGTGTAGTGAGATGAAACATGTTGACTGTTACTGATAGTAGTTTGGGTCATTGCTAACATGATCTGTTCTGATTGTGTGTTTTCAGTCTATTGATGATTTGAACTCGCACACTTAAAGTTCTTTCACAGTTACACAACTGCACCCAAGACACTTAAAACAGGAGCTTGTATTGTCGTGTTATTATTCCTCATTGTACAAAATACATTTTCTAATAAGATATAAAATGTCTAAATAGTGGTACATCATCTTAAGTTCTTTATATTTTGCCTCTTTGAGTTATTAAAGGTTATACCAACTTAATACTGTTATTAACGTACTGTTAGTAATATCTTAAGATATTGTGGGGGAAAAGTGTTGCAGCAGTCAAACGGAAACGTCAAATTCAGCCCTTCCTCCCAGCGATAACAATTTGCACATGGTCCCTTAAATAATTCCTAACACTGCTCATATTATTTAGCTTCCTTCAGTTAAATAATTGCTGCCTCTAACACACTTTGTGCTGACACCCACAAGCAGGTTTGATACCATTACAGCTGGGTGTAGCAGCTGCAGCAAACAGCAGAAATCACTGATGTGTGATTCTTAGATATGTAGCAGAAACTGGACTGTGTGCTGATTTTGTATAATTTCCAAACTGTCAGTATCCAAGGTGCTTATTTCTGCCTTCTTTGCAGCCGCTTCCTGTTGGCTCTGATCGCATAAAGTCACACTTTGAAATCCGTGGACTGAGGTGCCCATTTTTGATTTTATCTGTTTTATCTCCAGCCTGAGCTGACGGTGGAAAACCTGCCGTCCTTCCTCTCCCTGGGTAAAGCCCTCCTGCTCCTCTTTGTGGGAGAGGAGGAGGACGAGATCGGGCGGAGACAGAACCAGGCGCTGGTGGAGGAGATGAGAGGACTGGTAGAGTCGGGAGGGGGGAGGATGGAGCGATACCTGGCCTGCTGGATCCATCTGTACGTACATCAATCAACACCATGATATCAGTCATCCATCAAAATATATGGCATTGGATTTGCTGCTCCATCCATCCATCATGTACACATTTTGTTTGTCTGTGTTCCAGTGGTCGTACTCCAGCTGGTATGTCTGTCCTGGGGTCATACCTGGGCTCTTTGCCCCCCCTTCCTGCACTGGTCCTCACACATTTGCCCTCTGGAGGTGAAATCTATCAATACCCCCCCAACACCCCCATAGTGGCCCCATCTGTCCTACAGTGGCTGCAGAGGGTCGAGGACGGGGCTGAGTCACCAGCAGGTAAAGAGGAGGAAGTAGTGGACAGCAATGAGTTAAGAAAATAAAAGGCAGCAGTATTTAGGAAAGTGGAAAATATGATAATATGACAGAAGGATATTTAAACTCTGTTATTTTAATAATAGAAATAGGATCATGGGAGACCTGAGCCAGATGTTTTTCATTCAAGTAATTGTAGTAGTTAATTAAAAAAAAAAAAAGGGGGCAATAAAACAGCCAATGTCAACATCCAGGTTTCTGGATCTGCTTCAAAACCTATTCACTTGATTCGTGGCCCATGGTGGCAAACACAATCAAAGGAAGGAGTGTGGGGCTCCAGAAGCTTTCCAAATAAACCTCAACTTTCAATCCTTTGATTCACTTGTCTGAATGAAATGAAAGTAAACACAGAAATTCGCCCTCTGAATTGGTTTTGTTAACTGCAATAGGGATCTACTTACAGGGCAAAGAGCCAGCTAACCAAGCCAGCTGTTTGATTAGTTAACTAGTAAATTACCCATTCATCTGCAGTAATAACAAACATTACTTAACTTACTTAAACATACTTATCATTTATTACTTGTTTTTCCTCCTTTATTTCATTTAACTTCTTATCTGGACTAAATTGGAAACAATACTTAATAAATGTTATTTAACAATTAACAACACCAGTGTTCAAGCAAAGATGTAATAAATCAAACAACACAAGTATAACAATAACTCCATACCATACTTGTATTTAAGGAAAGCTTAGAAACATGAAACCAATAGTTTGATACAGTGAGACTGTGATCTTCACATGGCCTCACTTTATAGTAGGTGAAGTGTTACTCAAATAACAAGTGTTTCCACACACATGACATGACTTTGAACTTACAGAAAGTATCTTTGCAATGAAGAAATCCCTGTAGTCTGTGTCGCAACATTACACTATTTACCAGAACTTTCACCTTAAATGGCACAAGGGGCGGGGGGGGGGGGGTTATCCAGGCTGCAAATATATTTTAATGATGACCATTTAAAAGTGAGAGTCGCTGTGCCACAATGTAATGGCATTTAAACCTGACCTACACATTTTATAGTTTAGCTAAATGCCTAAAATGTAAATGTGAAATAGTATGTGAGACATTGGAAGAGATACAGACTGATCAGGATGATATGACTACCCTTATTTAATTATCCAAAGGAGAAGAATACAATACAGAAATGCCATCATATATTATAACATATGGAGCAGGGTGTCTGTTAAAAGCATAGAAATATGTGGATGACTTCACATGGAAAAAGTCAAAAAACAAAACAGCATAAAAGAAATGATTAAAATAGATGTGACAGTTATGTGGAAATGCTTTGTCACGGAGAAAAGGAGCTTGCTGATAATGTCTGCCATCTGCTCCCAGATCTAAAGAGGTTAAAGGAATATGTCACAAGTTTAAAATGATCGTTCCATTCTTCTCATGCCCGTTAATGAAACAGCGACAGGATGGAGCTTGTGCCCGTCCTGTCTGAGGAATGTGAAATGTGCACCAGGCTTCAGGTTAAGCAGCTAATGCGTGTAATGAACATAAAAGGGTCTTTAAATCAAGGTGATGATTTAAAACTCAACTGCCTGGAGCCATTAACCCTTGATCTTTCAAACCCTGTCGTTTGTATAGGTGTAGGCTGAGATAAGACGGCGGTCTTGTTGTGACTTGTCTCTGTTTATCTGAACAGATGGATTGTCATCCAGCACATCTGTTCTCCGCAGAGAAACCAGAGACCTGAAGCCTCTAGAGATGCACACAGTGGCTTTAAACCTCCAGTCTGAACTTCCTGGACTGTGTTTTCTTGTGGGAAACTAGTGTATTACCTTGTTAAATTGCTGTCATTTTCAAAAGCAGATTTTTATTTCACAATAGTATTTTTTCCAACAACTGCTGAAAAGCCAGAGCACCACATTTCACAAATGATTGATTCATTCATTTAAATATTTTACACAACTTATTCATGTTATTATTGATTATAATGACATTATTTCAACACTTTGGGGCTCTATAGAAAACTACCTTCACTTCCACATTTTAACCTTTGAATGAACAAATCTTAATCTATAAGAAATCAATGCGTCGCCTTCAAGATAAAATAAAATAGGTCTCAATTATAATAATGCTAATAATGCAAATAAAAACTCTTTATCCCCACACTAGTAATGCTATTAATAAGTCCAGTGTCACCATTAATGCTGTATCAAATTGCACATTGTAATTAAAGCTCTCTGTCTCGGTCCATCTCTGCAGGGATGTTGGGTGAGGACAACTGGCCTCCTGCTTTCGATTTCTATGACTTCCTGAAAATCATGGACACGCAGGAACCCGACTCCGCCCAGCAGCAAACTCCTGAAGAGGAAGAGGGAGTGGACGAGGAAGAGGTGAATGTGGAAGAGCATGTGGTGGCAGAAGAAGCGACGGATTCCTCTTCCAGCTCTCCCACTCCTGACAATAACCCTAACACTCACTCTGAACTGTAACAGATCACGATAGGAGGGAAATGACACAAAGACACGGATTAAACATGTTTCTATCCTGATTCTAGGCTTCATTTGTGTTTTTAACTTATATTATTATATTGTATTTATCATAGAATTATTGAACGTATCATTTAAAATCATTGTGTCCTGAACTTTTTGTAGTTTTTTTGCAACAAACGTATTTAAGTATCTACTGCCAGAAAGCCTAGCTATCTTCCTGATCAGACCAGCTGTTACCTGTTCTGTTTTTTATTATATCGTTAATATGTTAATGTTTTTTTCCTCATTCCCGCTTATTACATGACACCATTCCGTAGAAATCGGAGTGACTTAAGGTGAAGGATATCTACGTCTCGGAACTATCATGGGAATTATCCTGACGTTATGTTTCCTATCGTTACCCCTCTGGGTCCTGTAATGACGGTGGTATCGTGGCATGGCTGTAATTTTTCACCGAATTTGACATGCAGAACAAAAGGAGGTGGAGTAGGTTAGCTGGATTAGTTGTAAATTGTACGGTGGTTTCAGATGTGGTTTCTGGGACCTTGAGTTGTTTGAATCAATTAGTCTCACTTGAAAGGGAACATCCATCCTGAACTATATACTGAAGGGCTCTTGGATTTTCTTTTGAAGCCTAATGAGAATCTTCAGCTTAAATTTTTGTCCAATTACCTAATTGTTCTAATTGAGTTGAGGGACTGAGCATTTAATCCAAGGACTGACAGTTCAGTTTCTAAGTTGGTGTAAGGTTATTATATTTGAAATACTGGGCACAGTACAGAGAACATTAAACAGCTGAGTTGCTATAATGAAATTCCATATTCGTTCAACAATCCCATGTTTTTAGACCACCAACTTTAAACATATTCCTTATATGTGTTTCTTTTTGTAGATTCATAAATAGATTAAATAAAAGACAAATGGTGTAACTTGGATTTGATCTCTGCCACAGTGTGGACCTCATACTGTTGAAATGAATGGTCTGGTCTAGGAGTG